TCGTTCGCATCATTTTCCTCTTTATTGTGTTTTATTTTGGTTAGTTTCGAGCACAAACATTAAAAGAAATAGATTGCTATATTTTCTTGATATAGTATAAAGGGTGTTTTTCTTTGATATACAAAAAATATATAAAAATTTTAAACCATAATAAGATGGCAGTCATTTTATAAAATTATGTAGATGACAGGGTACTGGGTATCTGCTGGACATGGGACGATGGGACCCATACCAAATTTAAGTGAGTTAATTTGAGCCTACCAGAAACAATAATTTTAATTTTTTTTTTATTTTTTTTTATTTGATTACCGGTCCCGCGCCCACAGGGTAGGCTATTCTTGAGGGCGGCCATATGGGATCCGCTATCTTGAATTTTACCAATCCGACGTCAGATTCGCGATCGATGACCTATTTGACTTCAGATTCGCAATCAGCGACCCAAAAAACTTACATATACTGATTTTGCTCGGATCCGTGTTTGTTTTTAAATTCGCGTCGGCCATATTTGATCCGCAATTTCGAATTTTGCGAATCTGACGTCAGATTCCTGATCAGCGATTCAAAAAAACCCTAAGCCGGTTTTGGTTAAGATCCGTGCGATTTTCCAAAATCATGACTTGTGGTAGGTTTTTTGAGGTTAGAAGGTTAGAAGATTTTTTCCTACTATATTTTCCTGAATTTTTACGGATTTTCACCAAATTTTTCGAAGTTAGAAAAAAAATGAGATGTCATAGCGTAATCCTGATAACGGATTCGTGCTCAGCATCGAAATGTGAAAACTGTTCGTCTAGTAGGAACTACAGGAAACATTTTAAAAACAAAACACCGCGACTTCAGCCTAATTGGTGGAAATCGAGTTTCGAGTTTGTTTTTGAACCTGAAAACATGTTTCTATGTTCTATTTACAAAGTACATAGTCCTACAATTTTCATCAAACCCCGCCTTAAGAAATAATACTGCAATTTAATATGATCAATAAGTTGATAACCTACGTATAACTCCTAAATGATCATTAGGTACTACATGACAATGTACAAAACAAACACAATACGCTTTAAGACTGCAGTGACAGTGCTGCTAAAATATGAAAAAAGTCTCTTTCCAAAAGTTAATTTTACTTAATATTCAATACCCTAGGTGTTTTTCATTATTCTATCTATTATACTTTTAATGTTCATGGATTCTTGTTGTATGTTTTCCATTTTTAACGCCGCTGTGTCATCTCGAAACAACAACGAGTACATGCAGACTCTCACCTGTTGGTCGGTTTAAGTTATTTATATTTGTCTTACTAATTATACTCTGCCATCATAATTCATAATTTATTCCAGTTTCTTTAAAGTTAATTCAGTAGTAGCCACAGCTGTAAATTATCTGGTTTTAATTTATTCAGAATTTCTTCTAAGATATTGATAATAAAACGCATATTAGGGTATCATAAACTAGTTTAATCTACGACAATGTGTCATTATGACACATTTAACGTTGTCATTTGGATGTCATTATGGCTTTCATAATATAGTCTATAAAATGAATAACTTTGAATTTTGACCGTTATTTTTTACCAACATGGCAAATATAAAATCCTTCTGTCAAAAAAGTTACTGATATTCTTTAAATTGAGTGCCTGAACGAATCAGATAGGTAACTCTTTTTACTTACGTGAAATAGAAAAGGAAAATAATAAAACAAGTGACAGTTCTTCCTCTTCTTGCAAAAATCAACACGAAATGTCATAATTTTCAGAAGTAAAATGTTATCAGCTTTTGACGTTTCTAAATATCAGACCAATGCCGTCTCTAATAGAACAGCGTAGAAGCGAGATTGATGACGTCACACTAGTTAGATACTACGGATTAATAAATATGTTGTAGAATACATGGAGAACATAATTATTCCTCCTATTTTTGGTTTGTATTTTAACAATGATATAGTTTTACATGAAATATACATAATATACAGTTAATTAATATAACATATATACCTAATTATAGTAATAAATACTTTGACAAATAAACTATGAACCATAAAAATGCAGCAAATGTTTTACAAAATACAAATAATGAATAGGTACATAAGATAATGGGTAAAATGTAAAATATATTTTAAATTTTGGGGTTTGAAAATTGATCTAATTTAACAAAAAACATTCAATATCTACTAATAGTGATGTATTATTATTTGCATTCACAAAATTTATATGTATATTTTGCAAATATCAATCTTCGAAAAATTATATTTGCAAATAATACAATACCGTCGAAAAAAAGGCGTCAGCGATGGCTATGAAATAAAGATCGCTGTCATTTTATATGTAAAATTATTCTAAAATTTTCTGATTAAGTTTTCATTTGGTTTTTCATTATTTTTATTTGGTTTAAAAAAAAACGTTTCGACTAACATTATAGCCTTCTTCAGTGTTGTGTCATATGAAAATAGTGTCGAATATAATCCAAAAAATTACATACGTTTATACAATATACAGGGTGTCCGGAAATTAATGCAACAAAATTTGGTCATAGAGTCTTGAAAAAAAATAGGTGATCCGTATTTTTTATTTTTGGCGAGTGGCCCCCCTCTTTGTATTTACAGCCCCCTGAATTTCGCACCTAAAAATATTTTTTTTTAATATCTCAAGGCCCTGTTGGACGAAAATCACTAAATTTGGTACACGTTGTTGTATTAAAAAAAAACTCTTTTTAGGGGCGAAATTCAGGAGGCTGTAAATCCGAAAAGGGCGACCACTCGCCAAAAATAAAAATAGGGGTTATCTATTTTTATTTCAAGAATCTATGACTAAATGTTGTTGCATTAATTTCCGGACACCTTGTATATTGTATCTATTAACTGTATATTACGTATGTAGATTTCATGTAAACTATATCATTGTTAAAAAACAAAACCAAAAATACGAGGAATAATTATGTTTTCCATGTATTCTATAACATATTTATTAATCCGTAGTATCTAACTAGCGTGACGTCATAAATCTCACTCCGAGGCTGTTCTATTAGAGACGGAATTTCGTTAGCATAGCAAGGCACGGCCGTAAGTCGCTAACCTAATAAAATTAACACTAGAAAAGCCCGCGGGACCTGTCAAATTCAAAGTTATTCGTTTCACAGACTATAGCACTAGTGCTATTGTGAATTCATAATAACACGCAAATTTTAACATTTCCCTTTACACCAATCTTCAAGTTTTACATAGGCTTGCTCGTACGTTTCTCTTGATTTTTCGGGAAGTAGGGAATCGACAACGTTTTGCGCAATGCCTTCAATATCCGAAGGGACACTTTCAGAATCAGAATCACCCATATTAATATTATTTTTTCCTTTTTGCTAAAACTGGACGTTTAACACAAAATTGAACATCAATACATAGGTAAATGAAACAAGTTTAGATTGGAAAGTGCCCATAAGGACAATGTAAACACTATTTGGCGCTATTCTTGCAACGGTCGCGACCCAAAACTTTTGAAAATTTCGGAGCGGTTCGGCTTTTTCCAGAATTATATCGCCAAATATTGTTTATTCAAATTTATTATTATTTTCGTTTAATTTTATAAATAAAATACAGTGTGTTGCTTTCAAGAAACTTTATTTTATATTACGACGCATGCATGTATGAAATACCTTTGAAACATTGGAAACCGACGTTATGCCACGATCCACGATGGTTTTTGCAGTTCACAGTTTACAGCACAGCTTTTTAAGTTTTTAATGCCACTTTTTCACAATTATTACCGGTTGGAGTAAATAAAACTTGAATTAAGCTCACAAGACAGCAATAATTACTTTGAAAATGGATGCTATAAACACTTTTCGGGATTTCTTTAATGAGAGCGGTTTAGATTTTGAAAGATTATTATGATTTTTGAAGATTCTGACTTTGACAAGAGAAAATTATTTCTGTTTTAGTTTGCCGTTGTTCTTAGCGACCGCTATAGCAGCGCCAGATCGCGTATAACGGTCGCGACCCAAAATAATTTCGCGACCTAAAATTTTTACGGGCTTTCCAATCTAAACTTGTTGCATTTATCTATGCATCAATAATTGAGTTGTCAAAGTCAAAATGGAAACAATCAACAAGCACGATTACCACGGCGTCGACTAATATGGGCATCTGATAATTTTGAATTTTAATTTTTATGAGAAATTTTCTCTTTGGATCGTCCCTCGTGTCGCGTCGTAGATTAAATTTTGAATGATACACGTTCGATACGAACTTTTTAATGAAACTTGTGTAACTAAGCCTTAACTTAACGTTACACGCGTTTCATTATGATGTTCGTATCGAACTTGTATCATTAATAACTATTATTATAGCACAAAAATAATACCAAACCAAAATATGAAATCAAAGTTCTAAGCATTGTACTTTAGTTAGTTATTGTAATTTAAAGTTTTTCCAAAGTCCCCGTCTGTCGGGGTAACTTTGGGACAGATAAATTTTACATGCAAAACGCCGTAAAGAAGCATTTTGTACCAAAGAAGAACACAAAGATATATAAATATAACGCTAAAAAAGTTTGAGAAAAATATTAGGGCAGTAGATGTATGTTTCTTTTAAAAAACTGAATAAGAAGACAAGTTTTTTTATTAAAGAACTAACAAATACAGATAGCAAATAGATCAGTTTCACAGATTCTAATGATCCATCATTCTGTCAAATCTTGTCAGTTTTCAAGAAGATAGAAGATATGTTCCCAGAGGAATCACTGACTAGTCAGCACGTTTGTCATTGGTTAAAATGCGTAGAAACCTGATTGTTAGTCTGGTTTCTACACATTTCAACCAATAAGAAACGCGCTGACTAATCAGGGATTCTTCTGGGAACAGGCCCAGAGAAAAGCCAGAAAAATTGACGTCAATGATTTGACATAATCGTCAGTACCAATCATTAATCCTAAAATCCTCTAACACGGTATTGCCAACTATTTCAATCTTATTATCTTATTATAAATATTATATGGAGCGATCAAGATTTATTTTACTTACCCTAGGTATAATGTATTCTATGTCCGAGACCTGATCGTGTGATCCGTGGGCCTTCTTTTTGGGCTTCTTCTTCGGCAGAATTTGGACCGAACAGTAAGCGAATTGACTATCCAGGAAGGACACGGCTAGCACGGTGGCGACTGCGATGCGCAGCACGAACAAAGCTGCAAAACAAGACGAAAAACAATAGTGAATAGAAATGAACGCAATAAATAAATAAATCGTAGTTTTTTCCGATGTTACGTAATACCACTAATATTATGGTTATTAAGTGCGAAAAAATGTTTAAAGTATATTTCCAACAAACGATGCGATCATCAGAGATGGAAAATTAACAGAAACTACTAAATGTTATTGATTAATCTTTGTTTCCGCAATATTTGTATGTAATTCTTTATATACAGTGCTGGAAATAAAGTCAGAGATTTGTTGCTTTGGGGCTTGGGCAAAGTTTTTTGTTATTAAGAGTCCATTTCACTAGCCCGAAAAAGTAGCAAAATAAGCGTTCAGCATTTAACGTTTTATGTAAAACTGGCTCGGTATTTTTACACAAATGAAGAAGGAAATTTAAGATAAAGAATTATACTATATCCGTATTGTAGCACATTTTCAGACAACTCGTTTATTTTTAAGATTTTGATTGTCAAACATCAACGAAATATTCCTTATGTTTGGACTATATTTTCTCGAAAACAAGGACATAATTTAAAATTCCGTTACAATACGGAGATAGATTGAAGTTTTTTGATTACAGTGATATAAAATTTATATGGTTTTGTAACAAATTGCTCGCTATTTTATTGCAAATGCTGAAGCTCTGCAAACCTTAATCAAGCCTTAATCAAAGCACGTGTGTTTGTAATTTTGGGTGTGGGTTAACACGACAAGATCAGGCTAAGTCCTTAGGCAGATTTCTGAAATATAATATATATTTCCTTCAACCACACACCCGCTATACCCGACTCCTGAGAGCGACCCGAACAGTACCGTGTAATAAAAATCTCATTTTTTGAAAACATTTCTAATGTGTGTGTGTTTTAATTAACCATTTTTGATGATTTTTTAAACAATTTGTAGCTGAATTATTTGACTTTCTAGTATCTCTTTCCAAATTAAAAATTAAAGTTACCATCTGTCAATTATACGAGGGAAAACAAAATATTGATAGATATTTTGGTGAAAGTTTGATACACCCTGTGGGGTACCGTTAACAAAGCAGGAATTGAAAAATTATTTTATCATCTATAGATGTATCTTTTCTCGACAGTTTGTTTTTTGATTCACCTCAATAGCTTTATTTTTTTTGGAGATATTCGCTTTTGCAGAAGACACTTTTTTCGTATATTTTACATTAAAATCATGCCTTTGCTTTTGGTCCTAATCAACAGACCTACAAAATAGTGGTTATGATTTATAAAATCATTTTATTATTGTCTGTTGGGCAGTTACTCTAGTAGATATGGTTTTAAGTCCAAAAGTTAATCTCTACCATGATCAATTAAAGCAACAATAGCCGATACATCTGTACCAGAATAAACGTCAATAAACAATAATAATATGACATTTCAATAACAATGGCATTACAAAATCAATATACTCTTTCTCAGGTAAGATTTCGACAGACGATGACAGAAGAAAAGCAGATGACGTTGGGACGTATTGGTATGGGTATTGGGTACCAATCTATTTATTTTACTAAAAATGTTTCTAATATTTTTTAAGTTAACTATGGATGGGTTTAAATATAAATCCGTCATACGTCGTCTCTTGTTGTTTTTAACCAGTCTTATTGGTTTATTTCAAAAATGACAAATCATATTTCAATATTATTGGTTTAACGGAAGCACAAAACATCCCCCTTTAGAACTTCGTCTGTCATGTTAAGAAATGAACATTTTTCTTTCTACCATGAGAAATGAAAGTAAATAATAAAGTGCCTCTCGTGTTTGTTCGCACTCAAAAAATTTAAATTAATGCCTGTTTTTAATTTTTAATATATTTTTCAAATTTACATTTTTTTAATTGAAAAGTAATATATTACATTTAAATGAAATATACTACATTACAATTAAGTCAATTACAGGATGACAAGCTTGTTTTTTAAATAAAACGTATTATAAAATTTCAATATATGTATATTTGTCGTAGGTATGAAAAAAGTAAAATATAAAATGGACAAACGCTTACTTACATTGCAATAAAACTTCCACTTTTAGTTTTGCAATCCAAACGCAATATTTCTATTTCACAAATAAAAATATCCGGCAACACTAAAATCACTGAAACTTCCGCGGCTGACAACGAAAACTGAAAAATATAACGGCACTTTTTGTTTTGGACCTGCATATCAACATTACGCTGTATTATTATGTGTTTGTTGTTGAAATAATATAAAATATCTAATTATAACTTGTAAATTTTAATATTTTAACATGATTTTAACTACTTTTGACAATAACTAACTTTTTATCAAGATGACATTTTAGACGGCAACTGACATATATGTCATAATATTTGAATCTTGTATGTAATATAATTTAAATTAATATAATGCAACTTTATACTAAGAAAACATTTATACATTCACAAAATTCAACAAAGTCTAATAATATAGTTTGAAAACAATGAATATTGAATTAAAATTGAAAAAGTTAAGCGCGACCTCTTGTTTCAAAATTAGATGATTAAATTTTCGCAATTTTTACACCATTTGATGACCGGTGGCGCCTCTAGTGTTTGTTCGGGCGGTTGGTCTTTTACTCCCGCTTATGGCCAGGGCCCAGTCACTCTTATGGAGCATTAAATTACAAATTGACGATACGGCCCACTATAGATGGTGCTAATTTACGTCGTGTATATATGGTTGCAGAACAGTTCTTCGTGTATGTATGGTTGCTTTAAACGTTACGATTGGCTCGGTCTTTAAATTCATTTTATGAATTTTGCGATTGATTTCCCTCTTCCATCCACACAGTACTTCAAATACTCCTTTATTTATGCTTCAAACTATATTTAAGCTGCCTTTATTTTGTTTTTAATACAAAATGTATTTCTCGTGCTTTTTATTGTATTCCGACTCCAACTTTTTCATATTATATTATTCAAAGGTAGCCATATTTCTTAGTGCTTCTTGAATTATACAACTGTGATGAACTGCAACAGATGAATTTTCAAAGTATAAGCAGCCTCTAGGATAAATTTTACATATCCGTTGTAGCAGGCTGAATTCATAATTTATTACCATAAAGATATAATTCTCGTCAAGATATCTGGTGGTGTAGGGGATAAGGCTCTCGTCTAGCAACACGAAGGTAGCCGGTTCGAGTCGTGCCGCCGACACAACTTTTTTATTTAATAAATAATTATTTTGACCTTGAAGCCCTGAGCCGCACTCGGCCCGCTATAGATGGCAGCAAAAATTTTGTTCGCTTTTTTATTACATTGACTGATCGTTCTGTAGTTATTCTGTGCTTATGGCCATTAAAGAAAAAGTTCTAAAGGGGGATGTTTTGTGAACGGAACGATGAACGACAAACGGACGTCGATGCGTATGAACTCGACTTAGACCATTGCCTGGAAACTTATATGGTGAAATTTTGATAAAATAATTTAGTACACACTAAAAACAAGGTATGTCGCTAGTGGTAGGAAAAATAATTTTTAGAGGTTACTAGTTTATTTGGTTGCCTATACAGGGTGTTTCCTAATTAATCTAAAAAATATAAAATCGTTAGAAAACGAATTAAGGCGGGCTCTTAATAAGTATATTTATTTTTTTCTCGACAACCGTTTGATGTATAAGATAAACTCAAAAGATCAATTTTGTTGAAAAAGGATGGCCAGTCAAGAAAAAAATAGATTTTCTTTAAAAAAGCAGTGGTGTACCATTTATGTTAAACAAAAAAATCGATTTTTTTAATTTTTAACACCCTGTAGATCAGAAAGGAAGTACTTTAGATCCAATGGTTATATAAATTTTTTTTTAAGAACACATGAGGAATCACACCATAATTTTTTTAGACTAATTCGAAAACACCCTGTATATTGCCAACTTGACAATGACTGCTGATAAATCAAAAAATACCTTTTCAGTGAAAAAAACCTGATTTTCGCAGGAAAAATTTTGATTTTTATTGAATTTGGGCCTGCGTTTGCAAATACTGGTTTGTTTTTTAATTTTCTATCTATCTAAATTTTAAATATCATAGTCAGAAATAGTTTTATTACTTATTAACTGTAAAAATGGTGTTTTCTTGTTGTGTTGCATCTTGCAAAGAAACTAACAAAACTACAAAAATGTACGTGTTTCCAAAAGACGATAAGGTATGTATCTTAGATAAAAGAAAAATATATGGTATGTATTCGTTGTTTGATTTTTTTTCGTTCGCTTTAAAATCTATAAATGTCGGTCTATTCATTAGACATTAGACAGCCAGTCGACTTACGATCATTTACATGAAACTCTGTAAAATAAATAAAAAAATAAATTGTAAAATATATATATATTCTTATGTTTTATTAAAGTTACTCTGATATACTAATATATCAGTGTAACTTTAAAAATAAATCCTTTGAATTCAAATATAAACATAAAAAATATTTACAGCAGAAAAGGCGAAGGCGCTGGGTTAAACGTAGCCTCCGCTAAAAACACGGAGGGGCGCTTTGACCCAAAATTTTACTATTAAGTTTCATATCTATCTTAATAGTAGATTATTTTCTTTTATCTATGACTTAAGATTTTTGAGAGTTGTCAAACTCTCGCCTAATTATAGGTTATAATTTTGTGTCAAATTTTGTCAAATAGAAATGACAAATGTTTTCCATTTTGCATTTCGGACTGTGCTATTACGTGTGTTTCGTGTTTTTTAAAATTTTAAGTGAAGGAAAACTCAAAGGGGAAATTAAGTGTAGACCCAGACCATAGTTTACAGTTAATATTCGGTGCCCAGAGACAGTTTGCCAGAGATTATGACCAGAAAATTGTATTAGCCACAAATAAAGTTTGTATACATACCAAAAAAAGTTTTATTAAAGTACAGTACAGTTTATTAAAGTACACCCTTGCTTATTTTGTATTAACAATATTGTAATTGTTTTTAATAAAATAACTCTTAATTTTTTTCAATTTTATACAGTTTTTTTTCACAATATTTTGAAGTAA